TGAGTAAATAAAACAAAAAAGGAAAATAAATAAATTGATATGATGGAAATTTACAATGATTGCAAATCTACTGTATTCAAATTTTTATATACCTGCAACAAGTCTTGAAGGTTCACAATAATTAAATTCTGTCAAAGCCTTTATTCAAGGACAGTTTGCACCTTCAAAATACATTCTTTTTCATTTGCAGATCACATGATATATATGCACATATATAAAGTATCACTAAAATCTTTGAAAAAAAAAATATTAATGTTGCATACAATAAAGATACAGATTATAGCAACACTGAATAAAGATGCACACTTTGATAATGACAGGTATTCATTACAAAATTGGAAGCTGATTATGCACATGGTATGCCTGAAAACAAGCACCCTGACAAAGATGAACCATACACTTGTCACAGCCATAAGTAACATCTTTCCTCTTGCCTTCTTTTGCACACCATTTACACCGTCCACGGGGTCTATCCAACTTTATGCTCCGATGCTGACTTGAACCTGCTGCTGTAATTAGCTGCACTCCAGAATATCTTGGCTGCTTCCTGTTAGAAAATCTGCAATAAGACTCATGGCAATATCAATATGAAGATCACCGAGAGAATAATGCTGTCTTGGTTTCACCACACCAGGGGTCATCTTCCAAAGTAGGAACGTGTTGACCAGGGCCACCTCCAGTATGAAATTCATGAAATACTTCCAGTACTTTCTTGACTGTCGACCAATTGGACACTTCGAACGGTACTGCATGGCACGATCAACCCCATAGTAATTTTCCTGGTAAGCTGCAATAGCTGGTGGTCGTTATATTAGGATGACCTCCCCTCCAGGTACTCGACGATGTGTTGGTCCATCCCCAAGTGGATCAGATGTGGTTGAAACAATATGAACCTATAAATACATATATGATTTATCATATGGATGGATACATTTCTCAGTAAAATACATGCCAGTCAACAAACATTCACTTACTGGTTTGGCATCTTTCCATGCTGTTGCAACCAAATTGTCATGTTGCAGTTGTTCCGCATCACCACGACCACTAAAAGTTGGGTTCCTAAGTTCATCTGGAAAGCCTTTACGATTTGTGTTGATAGTACCACAGGCATAAATACCATTAACTTCAAGATTCTGAAGTAATGGAATTGATGTAAAGTACCTATGAAATAGTTTCAAAAATTTAATAAATATGCATTTCATTATAGCTAGCTGAGGTTAATTCCAGATGTCATTTCATATTTTCAAATTTTCATAAAACACTGTATGTAACTGATTCACATACATAAGCAAGTAAGTAAATATACATAGAGATAAAACATAAAAAACTATTTTGTTTAAAAATCATACCTATCAAAGAAAAGGTGGTGTCCTTTCCATTTAAGTGGCTTGGATAAATGTTTAACCACTCTTTCTCCGAGGTATTGCCCTTGCATCTCATCATGCCTGCCCAAGTAGATTTTATAATCATTGGTATATTCATTTGGTTCACACCTCATCCAGACCTACAAAATTTAAATGGTATTGCATTGTTCATAACAATGACAAAGTTCTAGAAATGTGTAAAAAATAGAATAAATTAAACAGTGTATAGATTAATATAATATGTTCTATTATTTATAACCTCTTTCCCCTGTTGCCTGCTTGGTGCTGTAATTAGAGCATCTGCTCTAGAGTTACAAAATAAAGAGTTGATCCTTATGTCGCGGGTTCGAATCCTACTGTGGGACATGGAGACCGGTCCTTCAGATGAGACTGATAAACTGAGGTCCTGTGTCGCAGTTGGTGCTGGCATGAAAAAGATCCCTAACTGCTCATTGACTCTGAGTGCCGAGTATAGGACAAAATTTGCAGCTCTCCACCAGCAAGTAGTGGGGTCTCCATATGAGTGAAAAATTTTTGAGAGGGACATTAAACAATGAACAAACAAAACCTCTTTCCCTCAAAAATGGGGGAAAAAAATTGTTGTCAACTCCTTTTTTCACTTAACTTTTTCATTACATCATCAAGTCAATATTTGTCCATTTATTTGTTTTTTTTCTACTAGTCATAACTACATGTATTTCACTATTTTGATACAATATCATAATTATTGGGCATATATTTCACATTAAGCATGTACATGTACCGGTATGCTGTAGTGTCTTTGAATTGACTTTTTGACTATAGCTAAGACCAAGGTCTTTCATGAGAAACAAGGTACACTGTATTTCATAAAGGTTCTAGTCATTTCTTTATTTTTTAAATATATTTTTTTATCCTCTTGAAATCTGGTTTTCTTTGATATAAAGTAATGGGTGGTGAAGGTTTTTTTTTTTAATTTTACGTAAATAAAATATTTTAAATACTGTAAAATTGAACTTTTGCAAAATTGAAAGAGCAAAATAATTTTTTTTTAAAGATTAGAAAAAATTACCTTCATTCCTCTTTTGATTGGTTTGCAAGGTGTATACTGCTTTGCAAAGTAATGCCCTTTGTAGCGTATCATCCCCTCGTCTATGCTCTGACACTGCCCTGGCTTCATGTACTTCTGAAAATTTCTCCAAGTCATCTCTATCAATGGGCGTATCTTGTGAAGCCTGTAAAACATTCAATACCAAATCTGTTTGTGGAACAAAAATCATATCTTTGTTTATAAAATATTAAAAATATAATGATGACAGTTTGACAATTTTGACATGTATCAAAATGAACTTTAAAAATCAACTACATTCTACAAATTTTTAGGTTTATTTACCAATCATACTCAGGAGACCCCGCGGGATGTTGAGTCGTATTGTCATTCAAATGTAGGTACTCGGTCAATCTCCGGAAACGGCTCCTACTTATCGTATCTTTGAATCCTTGATTTCCTATAATACATAGATTTTGAAATTCAAATTTTCTCAAACAAAAGACTATACTATAATAACAAAAACTGTACAATGTTTGCATATAAAACAAGATGTATTTGTGAAACACTATGTCCCTGATGTTAAAACAATAATGGAGTGTGACGTAGACTGAAGTGTTGTTTACTTACCCTTGACAGCTTGAGTTAGTTAAAATTGACAACAGACAGACAGACAAACAGACAGACAGGACAATAACAATATACCCCCAGGATCTTTCGATCCGGGGGCATAAAAATTATTTGATTATGAGATCTTATTACTTACATCACAGGCACCGGATTTTTTTTTATCAATAAGTCGCTCAATTAGAGAGATATCTAAAATTCTACCACCTATATAATAGTATATGTCTGTCTAGGCTAATATAATATACGAACGTTAATTATAATAAATGATAAATCTAATCATGCAGTAATACTGTTAAAAATAAAATACACTAATATATTTTAAAAATTGATCCACAATTTTTTTTTTCATAATTGTTTTATCTTATTGTTTACACAAAAAAACCACACGAAGAAGTTCCGATCATCACGCACCTGCTCAAGCCTGCTACATGATGCATGAATGTTTTTTTTTTAATTTGAATTCAAGAAGCTTAAAATTCATACTGTACCTAGGAACTTGTTTTGAGACCAGTACATGTCTACACTTGGAAGCTGGTTGGTACCCATAAGGATATATAGAGGCCAAAGTACGCCTTGATTTCTAGGGCAGATGTGTCGAACCAGTCTACGTCACGGCGACCCCTCTTCTCAAACTCCTGAGCAGCATACCTGTTTGTTTCAATGGACACTTTCTCAAAAAAATCCTCCGACACCATCAAGCAGAAATAGCTTAAAATACTATCAGTCGGCGACAAATCATGACTTGGACCCGTTTCTTCTGAGAAGGGTGCAATCGTCACAGGATGCAAATCACTCGACCAAAAATGGGGACCTTCTGAATCGCTGATCTGACTGGAGAAAGTCTCTAGGGATGACTGTGAGTTCGGATCCTCATCGTCCGTATCAGATGAAAAGGAATCCAAAGGATCATCAATGTTAATGTCTGAACCAGCAGAACTACTATGTGAATCGTCAGTTGATAAATCACTTTCGCTGTCGCTATCACGGGAAGCCATGTTAATTTTCCGCGCTGTTTACATAGTTGCTATACAACCAACATATGACGTAAATTTTATAATTTTAGAAACAAAACCTTGCTGAACTTGTCGGAAATCCTTTTAAATCTATTTTTGGTTATTTTAAATTTAATTATAAATATTTGAAACATTTCTTTTATAACGCTTTGTCAAAGCGAATAAGAACGCGACATTCTCTGTCTTCTAAGTTATAATTAATATTTCTTGTTGACGTTACAATTTTTTTTTTTTTTGGAACGATGGGAACAACCGCTTTTCATTCGCGGATATCTTTTTTAGTTTTATATATACAAGAATATGTTCAAGACAAAAATTGTAGTAAAAATCTTCCTTGTTTTAAATATAGTAATTTCATTTGGAAAATTTGCTCATAAGATTAAGATTTGTTTATTATAAACCAGCCGAAATTCGGCATAATTAATGAATTTTGACTGCTATTTTGCAGGTAAATGCGTATTTCAATCGCATTTTTTAATATTTAAACGACCTTACACAAAAAAAATTTCTTCACAAAGAAAATTCGAAATTTTCTCTAGTTTTCAAACATATCAATATTTTTATTGTATTCTATGTCGTTACATCACACGAGCGGTTTTCCCTCTGCGAGCATTGAAATGCGTCAAAAGGCGCACTTGGCCGTTAAGGGGTTAAATGACACATATATAGAATTATCATAGATCAAATAGAATTTGTACGAAGAGATAAAATGTCCTTTACATACTTAAGTTTAAAATACTCAAGTACTCTTTGACATGACATTGACTTCCAACAGCCGCATTCAGTTTACTTTTCTAATAGTCACATGTACAAGCAAATAAAGACTGAGGTTATATTAAAAATTGAATTTTAAAGTGTCGAAATGAAAAGCCTTTTAAAATACAAAATGAGATGTATTTATCATCGGTTAATACGGGGGAAAAGACTAAGATTATGAACAAAGTCCAATTCGTAAGTCTACAGTACCTGTTACTGGCGAGCTCATTATCGTTGTATTGTCTGCACTGAGATTGAGGAGAAATTGTTTGGTCTGAGAGGTATATGCTAGATCACCGCATACTGCAATAAAACGAAAAATCGTAATAGATTTACACGGTATGAAGCAGGTTAAACAAGATGTGTTTGTGAAACACTATGCGCCCGGTGGCAACAAAGTTCTAAAAAGCAATTTTTAGCAAATAGGTCACAGTCAAGGTCACACGATCATTGTCCTTGGTGTCATTTGAAAGCACTTAATTAGTGGAGTATGCATACCAAATGTAAAGTCTCTATCTCCTGTGGTTCAAAAGTTATGGTAAAAGTTCGAAAAAGGTATTTTTAGCATATAATTTACAGTCAAGGTCAAAAGGTCATTGACCTTGTTGATATTTGAAGGAAATTAATTAGTGGAGTACACATACCAAATATGAAGTCTCTAGTTCCTATGATTCAAAAGTTATGGCGAAAGTTCAAAAAAGCTATTTTAGCATATAGGTCACCCGTCAAGGTCACAAGGTCATTGAACTTGGTGTCAGTTGAAAGTGCTTAATTAGTGGAGTATGCATATCAAATATGAAGTCTCTATCTCTCGCGGTTCAAAAGTTATGGCTAAGGTTAAAGTTGACAACAGACAGACAAACAGATAAACAGACGAACAGATAAACAGACAAACAGGACAAAAACAATATACGCCCCGAATAAATTCGGGCGCATAAAAATAACTAAACACAGCAAAAATACTACTAAAAAATAAAAAAAAATATGTATTTTTCCCCAATTGACCCCTTCCATTACCAAAATTTCTAAAATTCAAGAAATGTCATTTCTTTTTATGAAAAGATTTTATTGATTTGAATTCTCACCTTTTTCTCTTTTTGAGGAGATCCACATTATATATTTGCAGCAAGAGCAGGAATTTTTTGTGCACACGCACTCATCATCAAAGAGGTTGCCCTCAAACAACGCTTTTAAAAGACGCCCCTCTTTTACAAGATCGACTTCATATCAAATAAAGATAGAAATAGATGCTGATGATGATGGTGATGATTATAATTATACATATAATTATGGGAAATACTACAATGGTTGGTCTACAATTTACATAATGATGAATGCTATATATATATATATATATATATATATATATATATATATATATATATATATATATATATATATATATATATATATATATATATATATATATATATATATATATATACGAGTATGAACAAATAAAGAAATTGCTACAAAATCATAATTAGCTGAAAGTTCCAACCAACTTAAATATTCTTCATGAATCTTACCATCTGCTTCTACTTGTCCAGAAGAACAAAGTAATGCAAAAACGAGCAACAAGACCACTTTCATTTTCCTGACTTTGTTGAGTAGAGGTACAGCAACCCGCTAGTGACCAGGTAGTTATAGCCTCGTCTATATCTTAACGATTTGCGTCGATTTTATATTGTTACAGGTAATATTTCTCTCTTCTGTTTGCTTTTGAATAAAGCAATCTCCCTTACCAAAAACCACTAGTTGAGACTTTTACATTGTACAAAACGAATGATGCGAATAAAAGTTTCAGGTATTATTTTTTTTATCAACAAAAGAAAGTAAAAAGTGGTCGATTTTCTCTCTTTAATGAGGAAGTTTTTATAGGAGTGACATTCTCAATGTCATGAAAAACAACATTCTTAGGGAATTAAATGCCCTTAACAGTGTATTTTGTACATTAATAATTTATATATACATTTAATTGAATACCTTCATTTCTTTATTTTGATTAACTTCCCCGATATAAGCAGGCCTATTTTTGCATGCACATGAAGAAGAATTTGTCCAAAATCTTATACGTGAAAAAAGGAAAACACTTGCTGTGGCCTTCAACTCGATACATGTATTTAGATATATCGACGACATACTGGGTATTGTCAATTTAATTAACAATTGTTGTTTCTGTTCCTATGTCGATACAATGGGCTTGAAATAAAAGTTTCATAATCTGACATATCTGTTTCATATTTGGATATTTTACATGAAAAGACGTTGATAGTAATCTAACAAGCAAGATTTATGAAAAACGAGATGACTTCAACTTTTCTTTAAGTCAACTGCCCTTACCTATGCAGCAATATACCTTTATTACCTGCAAAAGGGTTTATATCGTTTTCATATATTTCCCCAATTATAGATTTATTTCCAAGAAATCAGGGGATTTAAAAAAAGATTTTTAAATCATGTCGTATGAATTAAAGGAATGGATTAAAATTATATACAGTATAACCTGGGTTGGAGCATTTTACGCTTTATAAAGCGCGAAGTGGCTAAAACGTTTTTTTTTTTTTTTTTTTTTTTTTTTTTTTTTTTTTTTTTAGAAAGGGACAAATTATTCCAGTCAGTATAATTTGAGTAGCTATTAAATTCATTCCTTAAAATTTTATTTTCCATCATTAACTGTAAAAATAAGACGATGCCTCCTTCAAAATCGACATCAAATTGTACAATCATATATTAAATTAATTGATATGTTTTTGACGTAAGTCAATGTGACGTAGGCATTACGCAACACAGGTTAATATGCTACTCAAACTAATTTTCATTCTGTCAAATGATACGCTACAACAAAAATGAAATTATTCATTATATTAAAAAAATTTAATCATTTGAATAAAATAATTGTGTCAGGAAATATTAGCATAATAAAACATTTCTCTCTCGATACACAATCCATGTTAAACAAATAAGAAAGTAACCGGTATGTAAATGATGAATAACAAACTTTCCCACCTGAGACTTCCTTGCTGTAAACGACTTTTCCACCCCATGTCACCGTCAAAAGGACTCCTATTTCATTCTATTAATACTTCATCTGGATTAAATAAAGATAGAATGTAAAGAATGCGTAAAATTGTTTTAAAATTGTACAAAGACATGTGAATTGATATTAGCTTCTACAACTAAGAAAATATTTAGGTTTGTTTTATTTTTAGTTTTTTTTCTAGAAATGTTGTTAAAAAGTGTAAAATTCATAGAAAAAAAACAGAATTTAATGCTTAACAGTGAGTGGTTTGTCTGCCACCTTTTTTGCTGATTGTTATTTTTTAGATTCTGGATTATTTATTTGGATTTTCTTGATGTAATATGTTACACTGGGGAGATCAACTAATGTTTTGTACAAATTCACACATTTTTTTTCAAGAGAGATGTCCCCTTTATCTGATGTATCTTTTGATTATCTTTCGTCATTTATACATATATCAAACTTAATTTGTGTTTGTGTTACTTTAAAATGGATGTGATATGGTCTACATCAAGTTATGTGTGTGTGCAAAAAACTAGCTTCAGTGAACTTGTAAAATTAGTTAAATTACACTGGAGAACATAAAACAAAACTTGCACTACTTTCTCCTGTACAAGCAACATCTTCACGTGCATTATATGTATAATGTATAGGATAATAATCACACTTACCGTGTACATAAGAAAAATAGAACATGAATAGCATTCTGGCTAGTTTCTGTTTTATATTATTGAATTAACATTAGATTAAGCATTTAATAAATAAGTCATTTCTTTCCTATTGGACAAGGTCGGTCTCAATGTGTGAAAAAATGATTGACAATTATTACAACAACACGCATCACTCAGGCACAACATTTAAGGACACGATGTGAACAATTTTATTGTCAAGCATCAGTTATTAAAATCTACGAAAAAGGCATCAAATTAAGTCTTCAGCTTTGATATGTAACTACTAGCAGGTCTAACTTTGCCCAGTATCTCCAAGTATAATCTGTCTGAAAAGGCAAATCCATGAGGAAACAATATAAAACGGCATTTAAAATAACAACCATTTTGAACAGGTAGCTTATTTTTGGTATTGAACAATTGAGGACGATATCTTCCTGACTAAATGTGATTTTCCAAAATAAAAAAAAATGATGACCTTTTTATAGATATGTTAACCAAAGTCAGCTTAATGCTTCTTTTAAAGAGACAACAAACGAAAATGCTTAATTTCTTAATGTATACAGGGAAATATTCGCCCCCGTTTTATTTTCGCCCCTTTCCCTCTACCCTCATTTTGGCGAATTTAAAACGGGGCGAATTCAAAGAATACAGTATAATTTCTTAAACAAAATGATGACTGGGCGAATTTAAAACGGGGCGAAATTGTTTGCAAATGTGAAAAGGCGAAAATAACACGGGGCGAAAATAACCCAGTATACAGTATCATTAAAGGATATGGAGATAACGAACAGTATTCAATACCAAAGTCCATAAAGCAATACAAAAATTGGAGCAGAGCAAACACGGAGCTCTAAAACATCAGAGGTGGGATCAGGTGCCACGGAGGAGTGAAAATCCCTTGCCCCTGTTAGAATACTTAGTATACAATAGCTTGATAACTACATGCATATTTAGTTCATATATTGTCGTCTACAAACATTAAGAATTTTTCAATATGACATTGTACAAATTCAAATTGAAAAAAAATGTATAGGGCAAGTTGATCCAGACTCTAACGCACACTTAATGTAGATATTTTCAGGCTGTAAAGTGGTGTTAGAACATATTGTACATATGTACATATAAAGTTCTTACTGGAAAAAAAAAGATTTTATCCTTTTTTTTTTTGCTTTTTGATTTTTTTTTTTTTGGAAAGTTATATATATATATGTATATATATATATATATATATATATATATATATATATATATATATATATATATATATATATATATATATATATATATATATATATATATATATATATATATGTAAGACTCCAAAGTGCGATGGTGACGCCAAAGCCCGATGGTCTGCGCCAAACTCCGATGGTTTGTTATCGTCACGGACGCCAAAGTCCGATGGTCACGCCAAAGTCCGATGGCTCGTTTCCTATGAGACACGTTGCGCTAAAGTGCGATGGTCTGACACGCCAAAGTCCGATGGTTCGAAGAAACAATCGACGTTTATGACGTCACAATAATTCGACGTCAATCCTTGACGCGCTTTTCATGCATTCAAATGCCATCATTTCCGAATTTATTCTTGCATACGCTTTTATTCATTTTGCGTATTGCTGCCATGTTTCAGAGATATTGGGATTAATCCTCGCACACCACACAACTGATTAGGATCAGTCCTTTTAAATTGCTTTGATATAGGGTTAGTTCTCACACACTAGTCAAGTCATTAGGGTTTAGTATCGCACCCACCAAAGATATCTAGATATCTATAAAGCTGTTAGTCCTACTCACTTTTCTACCGATTAGGGTTAGTTTTGCAAATATTCGAGAGATAATGATTAATTTTCGCATAATGAAGAATGTAAATACTTATTTAAAACCTTGGCATGGTGTGGCTTTGTAGTTTGGCGCATTAGTACTATGACGTCATATACGTTAATTGTTTCTCCGCACCATCGGACTTTGGCGTGTCAGACCATCGGGGATTGGCGCAGACCATCGGACTTTGGCGTGACAATCGGACTTTGGAGTCCCATCGCACTTTGGAGTCCTACATATATATAACTTGATTTTTTTTAAAATTTAAACAAACCAGCTTGAGTATAAAATTATCTAAGAGGACAGACAAATGAATCATAAACTTAGTGATTGTTTTTTTTACAATTCAACTCAAAGCAACGTTCTTTGTTCAATTGTTTAAAAGTGCTTTTTAAAACATGACTCTTAACATATATAATAATTAACATTAAGAGTGATTTCCTGTTTGTTCTTAACATATATAATGATTAACATTAAGAGTGATTTCCTGTTTGTTTGTTAAACTCCCTTTTAAGAATGTTTCACTAAATTAAATTTTAAGACACAAGCACTTGCCGGGTAGAGCTGTAAATTTTAGACCTACATGTATACTCAGCTGCACTCAGGGACATTTAAGTCAAATGCTGACTAACGTTTTTCATTCTAATTGCCAGTCCATTATTCATACACTGAATTGAAGACGGATTTTTCAGTTATTTCCCGATTATGCCAATGAGAACACGGCTAGTGTGACCGTTCGGCAAGGGATGCTCACTCCTCTTTTGCACCTGATCACATCTCTGATGTTTTGGGGGTCCGTGTTTGCTCCGCTCCAATTTTTATGTACGGTTTAATGGATTTTTGATCTTGAATATACTGTTTGTTTTTTTCTATATGTTTCATACCTCACATAGTTTTGGAGCTGTTGAGAAACTAAATTTAAGATATCTTGATCTTTTGGTAAAACCTTAAACACACTGCATGGGTCAGAAGGCGTCTTACCTAAAAATTGATTGATATTCATGTTGACAATTTTTTTTCTATAAATAATATTATTATTCTCGCGGAGTAAGGAGTTAAACTTACGTCGTCATACCCAGAATGCGGGTATCCAATTAAAAATTTCTATCAAAAGAAAAAAATGTTACAAGTATCTCTTTAAAATTTCATGCTCAAGGGATGTCAGTGCTCCCCTCTTTTTAATTTTTTAACTTTAAAGATAAAACATTATGTTTTTAAAATTCTTAGCTGCGTTCATCACATCTTGATAGTGATTAGCTAAATGATCAATATTTACACTGCAAATGAAGACTGATATCCTGCATTTCATAATACAACCTTGATAAAGGTAGGGTACGTGGGATAATAGTGAACATGCCTCTAAAACTCTACTATGATCTGGGATCCCAGCCATCCAGGGCTGTGTACATGTTTTTAAAAATCAACAATATTCCTTTTGAAGAAGTGTTTGTTTCCATTGGAGCAGGTGAGAGCTGTTTAATTAAGTACATTATACAAATTAAAGTATTTCCATTTACTTGTCTGGTCGACCTATATTTTCACCCCTCAGTTAAATCTACAATGGGTAGTTTGTGAATTAAATAAGCTATTAATAAATAGCGCAAGTATTTCAATATTTAACTTAAAGGTATGTATCAAATGCAAAAATGATTTGCACATCTGTGATTTTTATCTTATTAGTAAATATCGTAAAATTATAACGCTTTAATTTATGGAGATTTGAGTCAATGATTTCAAATGTCGAACATCTCTCTTTGTGTCGTCTTCAGAGCAAAGCGAAACTTTAGAATCATTTTAAACGGAATCTGCCTGTCTGTCCGTCTGGCACACCCGATGGCCAAACAAATGTAGGAATTTCATATTTTGCCTATTTGAAATGAAATTAATGTCTACATAGTAAAATATAAAAAAAATATTCTAAGACTTAATAGGCATGCTATGGTCAAATGGGTTTCTTATTCTTTGTTTTAATGCTAGTACATGTAGTAAATAAATATCTGACCACCTTTACATTTACTTGATTTTTAATGATGCTGAATGATTTTATCAGTCTAATCTAAATACGATATATAAACAGTGGAATGAAAGAAGAAACATATCTTTGTAGGTGAACACAGACAAGAAGAATTCACGAAAATTAATCCTTTCCAGAGAGTCCCCGTCATTGATGATAATGGATTTATTCTAACAGAAAGGTACTATATTACATAATCAAATCACTATTAAAAATATAGACAATTTTGTATTTGAACATAAGATCTTTCTGATATGTAATACATTGTATATTAACATCATACAAACAAGGTAATGTATCCAGCATATAAATATATATAAGAAGGCTAGAAAAACCTATATAAACTTCCAAATAGGAATATCCTTTAAGTATTTCCAATACTTACATATACGTATAACTTAAAAATTTTGTTTGTTGATAATTTCTACCAAATGAAAACTCTTTTAAACTTATTTGTTTCCATGTAGTGTAGCTATACTGAAGTATCTAGCGAAGAAGTACAATGCACCCAGTCATTGGTACCCAGAAAATGATGTGGCAACAGTTGCCAGGATTGACGAGTACATGAACTGGCAACATACGAACACAAGAAACATGTGTGCCATGCTCTTTCAAAACTTGGTAAGAATTGTATTAAAATATAATCTAAGAATTGTATTAAAATGTAATCTAAATAATATACATTTTAAAAAAAACATGCATTAATATTATTTTCTGCAATTTAATTTTTTACAGCTTTTGATTCCAAGAATGAGACGCAAGCCTATCGATTGGGATAAGGTTAAATTTTATCGTAAGAAAGTGGTCGAGGTGGTCAAGCTTTTGGATGAGTATTTTCTTCGAGACCATTTATTTCTCTGTGGAAATGAAATCGCGTTGGCGGATCTTCTTGGCGTTTGTGAGGTGGTGCAGCTCTACCCAGTATGTGAGGAAGGATTATATGAAAGCAACCCGAAAGTCAAAGCATGGATTGAGCGTGTCAAACAAAGACTGGGGTCCGTGTATGATGAGGCTCACGAGGTTATATTTGGGATGAGGGGCATGTTCGACAACAATGTGAACTCCAAGATGTGATTTGATAAGCTGTATACTCAATGTTAAATTAAAATTGAAAAATAAATAGATGTACTAATTTTCTTTTCCCCTTAATCTAGAATTATCTTTAGAAGTAACCATTAATTATCTTCAAAACCATTTCTTATTGTGAAATTCAAAATATTTTTATATCACTTTGTTGGGTTCCTTAGTAATATTCCAGGGTATCATGTTGAACTCTATCTCTCTCTTTTAAAGATACATGTAAGAAGTCCTAAAACTCAGAGAGAATGGTGGGATTTTCAGTCTCACCAACTATCCCACCTTTCTCCCATGGGAGAAAAACTGCCAGATGGTATTTTTTTCTCCCAGTGGGATTTTTTCTTCTCTGAATTTGTACAAATGGGATAATTCGACGGATATTGACAATGAATAATTTTCTCCAATACATTGTTCAACGTGGAATATATCCTATAGATTATGATGAGTGATTTGTCATTGACATCATTTATTGGCTATATTCCATGTTTCACAATGTATGGTATTTTTTTTGAACAAATATCCCAGTTTTTCTCCCATGTGATAATTTTTTTCATTCTATGAATATATACAAATGGGATAATTCAACGGATATTGACAGCATGTGAATATTTTCTCCAATCAGAAATTGTTCAACGTGTCGGGAGTTAAATATATCCTTTTGAATAAACTTTTGAATACCGTGATGTTGTCTTGGCATCATTTATTGGATATACATTTATAAGTGAAATGAAAATTGCAAATGAGAATAGAATTTTTAAGGATTTTTTAAAAAATATTTTGTGCATTATTGGCAGTTGCCATAGACGGATGTTTGCTGACATCGTTTAATATCATTTTAAAAACTTGAAATGAGAATTAAACCGCTCTTCGTGTTATAGAAAACGAAAAAAATTACGATTGCTTGATCTTTAATAAACCTTTGTGTGTGTATTTTTGATTTTTGATAATAGCTACTTTAAGGTTGTTAAGCATTTTAAAATTGTAAAATTACTTCTTAAATCGTATATTAAAAATGAGGAAAAAATACCACTGGTTTTTGGTGTAGAAAATGAAGAAAAACAGAACCTTCATGGACGTTTATTAAAGGTGTGACCGCCTTTTTTGAGGCTCTGTTTTAAGTGTTGTCCCCCTAAAATTGAAAGCGCAATTGTCGGCTGGCGTATTCTTGACATGTTGAAATCGGAACATCATATGTAAAGAATATATGAGTAAAAAATGAAGATAAACAATACCCAGGCTTTTCTTGAGAAAAAAAATGGAGAAAAGGGCAGCATTTGAAGAATTACGTGTTAATTTGACATTTGAGATGATTCTATAACGTGACGTGACAACAAATCCATTTTCAGAAATCTTGTGACCTTATTGGTAACAGTGAAATTTTCAGTATTGTTACATTATAACTCTATTTTATAAATATGCCTATTGTTTGCTTTTGTCAAATCATGATAAAATCTTAGAAAGAAATTCCACGAACTTTTGGATCAACCCTCGTATTTTGCACATGTATTCATTACAAGATCTTCTCCTGAGTACCATTAATTTTGGTCCTTTGACAAATTTGGTACACTTTTAAAATACCATATGCTTGACTTAACCTTTGAATGGTCGGTGTTTGGGATATCATATTTATCAGGTACATCCATTGACACAAGTCCTTTCTTTGAGTAACAACATTTTTGATCCCTTGTCCCTACTGTATGGTTTGCTTTTGTAGAAACTTTAACCCTTATCATAAGATGTCAAAAGGATCTTCAGTGTTTCAAAAATGCATCTTCTCTTTTTTTACGAAATTTTCAGCAAGACTATTCTCCCAGAAATAATAAGATGCATAGTAGCTACATCTGTTACTCACTGAATAAATACTAGACACTACGGTATGACTATGATATCTAGTTACTAGTGTTTGAGGAATTGTACTTAACTTTGCTCTGTGCTCTGATGTAACATTTTTAAAAACCATCAGGGGAACTAGAAAACGTGTATATAGTTATTATTCTGAGACTTCAGTCATGATTTCTCTTATTTCAGACTGGGTTATTGTAACTTGTACCTTGCAAAATGGAATTACTAAATTAACTACGCTAAATGTATATCTTCAAACACTTGAACACTCTATGAAAAGAAGCATTTTAGGTAGAAAAAAATACAGTGAAGACAATCGATTTAAAAACATGCAAATTTTTTAATATTATGAAACAACAACAACAACAAAAAAACTTTTGGCACATGATTGTAAAAAAGAATTAAAAAAAAACATCCTTAAAATCAACACTGTTATCATAATGACATGTGTGTTCTTAAAAAAATATGTTAATTCTTATATCAAATGTACTCAAAAAATATTTTTATGAAATTAAAAGTCATTTCAAAATAATCATCACAGAAATGTCACTGAAAGACTCTGGTTGCAGACAATAGGATAGTGTTTCAAAACTGAATATCCAAATTCTCCACGAATATTCAGAATTCCAAACTGAATGTTCAAACTCTGTATGAATATTCAGAAGTCCAAAATTAGAAGAAAGGCACAGGCGCCACAAAGCAGTGAGAGCCAGAAGTGATAAGAATCTCTGGTCCATAGAAACTGTCTGCTTCCAACAGAGTAAAACTGTCAGGTGACAAGTCTTCAACTAACAAGTCTGTATTGACCACAGGCCTATAGTCCTCTGGGAGTGTCTGTAAGTTTAACATATTCCATAAATATTCAGTTTGCTATATGTTCTTGAAAATTGTAAAAGAGAAATACAATAGGCAAAATTTATGCCAAACATCATTGACAGTTTTGCATGTATGCACATTTGAACTTAAGGTGTGTCAGGCCAACCCTATTATTCGCAATGTTCTCTCGACTACATGTAAATGTGTGAGAAAAATGAGAATACCTTTCTAATAGACATTGGCTGTTGTTTGGACCCAGATTTCATTTGGCTACATTTCTCAGTGACTTTCTGGACAGTGTTACCAGACAAAGAGTTATGCTGAAATATATACATATTTTTACACTTTCATTCAAGTTTCTTGAAATATTATACATTGTTTCATGTCATATTATGTTTTCAGCATTGCTGATACTAAGTTAAATATTTACCATTTGTTCCAGTGCAGACTGTTTTGATGGCACTGTAGTTCTTGATACAACACTTTGAGGCTCCTTGTGTTTAAGGTTTGATGGCACAGTGTCCATTGTCTTTATATCAGCATTAGTAGTATGTTCATGAGTAGAGTCAGTGCTGTCATTATTTTTACCAGCAGTGGCCATTTGTTTTGGTGAAGAATCAACACTTTCTTTCTTATCATCAGTAGATTCTACCTGACCCTGAAAGTATCAACCACATGCTTATTAAAAATTCTGAGTTATCTTTTTTTTCCCTTTAACCAGTATTAATTATTTGCATTGTGTTAGCTAGCTTTTTATTACACCTACCTGTTTTTGCCTGTTCTTACATAATTCTGCCTGGAGGATATTCCACTTGTCTGTTTGAACTTTTGGTGTAACAACAATGGACTCCATTCTATAAAATAACCGTAAATCTGGAAATTTTTATGTCAACATATGGGTCAAAATGCTATTGATTAATTTTTACGTTTCAAAATTTTGGACCACTCTGTTTACATTTCCTTATTGTTGAATTATTTTTAAGAAAAATATTTTTGCAACTGCAGTGAACTCGCAAATTTGCTAAAAAATTATCTACAGCAAAAATTTCCAGATTTACGGTATTCACAAATCCATGCCATTGTTCTTGTGGTAGAATCAGGCAAATTCTAATCAATTACAATGAATATTTAGCATTCTTATGAATTACCTTGCCACCTTTTTCAGTGACAGAACTTGAGGCAGATTTCGGACTCTGAGTCTGATGCAATGTTGCTTCCATTTGCTTCCCTGTGGTCTGCAGCACTGAACTCACAAACATTTTATTTTTACTCCCTTTAGTCCTTGGGCTGTTGGGAGTGATATTTGTAGTTGTCTTTTTCTTTGACTTTTTAGTCTTGGCCTTTGTTTTTGCCTCCATTGGGACAACAAATGTAGGTAGACTCTGTGGTCTCAGACTCCATGATTCCTGATTCAAAAAATGATATGTATTTTTTTTTGTTTAAAATGGTTCTGAATTTCATAATGAAGAATTTAACGGGAAAGAAAATAAATAAAATATAAAAAACAACTTACAAGATGACCAGCAGAAGACCTCTGGGCAAAATCTGCTGATTGTCCAATTGTTGCAGTTTTTGTCACATTACATGTAGGTGAGGGTGTCATCGCAGGTGAGTATGCACCATTGTAGAAGCAGTTACTACTGACGCCATGGACCATTTGAGTTGGTTGATGAACGGTCTGGTTATATACACCAGTAACTGGCACACTGATATTCTTGGTAGGAACTTGCAGTCGTGTTCTGTTAAACCATTCGTTTGTCACAATAGTTGGAGTATAGCCTTGAACCTCACTTTTTCTAGGTAATGTCTGTTCATAAATATAACAAATTAAAAATTAATCCTTAATTTATCATTTAGTATTTGAATTTTTTAACTTGATGGTGTGTTCTAATGTAGATTGATTGATTGTATATTGTTTAACGTCCCTCTCGAGAATTTTTCACTCATATGGAGACGTCACCGTATGCCGGTGAAGGGCTTCAAATTTTGACCTGTACTCGGCACTCAGGGCCATTGAGCAGTGAGTTGGATCTTTATAAGAATTTTGCCAACGCCTGCCGCTGACACGGGACCTCGGTTTAAGATTAAGGTCTCAGTTCATTTGCAAAGACTGGCCGCAACTTTCACTTCAAAGTGCCGAGCGCATGGCGAAGGAACAGTTGCTACCCATTTTAACGACTAGGTCAGTCGCGGCCGAGGTACGAACTCACGACCTCCCGATCACGGAGCGAGCGCTCTACCGACTGAGCTACCGTGAACGGTTTCTAATGTAGAAGAGAGTGCATTAGTATGTATGTATAGATATAAGCGTATACATTGTATGTGCTTTCAGTTTAAAGGAGTAGTGATTTGAAATATCATTGCAAAAGGTAATAAAAAATACTAAATTTGTTTGAAGAAATGAATTTCAGGCCTTGACTTTTGTGCATTGGAACCAATAAATTAGTAGAAACCTTGTTTTGATAAGTCACAGTAAGTTTTGATATAAAATCCAATATATCTGGAAACCATTGATGGAGTGTTTTACTTTTAATCTCAGAATCAATAGGGTATTCCTTGAGACAAAGATACCCCGGTAGTTGTTTTCATTCCCCTTTTTAAGAATATTTCCTATTATTTCAAGATCAAATATGTAGATTCTCTTGTTTATACAATTCTTTAAAATAAGATACAAGTACCAGTACTCACAAGTTCATTTGCAGAGACTGGCTCTTGTAGCTCTGCCTGTGTCAAAGTCGGGTTAAGGACATAACCAGCAAAAGTATTCTGAGCTGAGGGATGAATGTGTCCCTGGCTGTTTATGGCTAACTGTTGTACACTGTATTCTGTTGGCTTTTGCAGTATGGTTTCCTGAGTTGGTTGCTGGATGGACACCCATGGTAGGGTCTGTCCAGATCTCAGCTCATTCAAGGTCAATTGTGGCTGTACATTTGCAGGTTCAGTCTACAGAGGAAAAAAATTCATCTTTATATAACTGATTCTTCAAACTAAAAAATTTTTGAAAAGTTATTGCTACCCCATCTGACCTATTTTTTAGTTCCCTACCGGTGAAACCGGCCCCATCTGGGGGGGGGGGGCATGCTTTTCCTCTGCGTCTGTCCATCCGTCCGTCTGTCTGTCCCGCTGTCAGTCTTTCCCACTTGGGTTTTCGCACTTTTTTTCTAAACGCATGCAGATATTGAGCTGATTTTTGGTATGTGAGTGTATCTTGATGTGTTTGAATGTCGTTTTGCTTTATTGACTTTTGAAGGAATTGTGGTATTTTTAATTTTTCATAATATGGTTTAAGATCGGGTTCGTTCTGTACTAAATTAATGATTCAAACGAGATTGTCATGTTAAAATTATTGATTTGAAACTTGCTGGTTTATAGTGACAAACTAAATATAATATTCTATCGTTAAATTTATTTTTATGTTAAAGGCATGCTAAAAATTTTAATATCAAGTATTTTTACCAGGGTCATAACTTTTGCACCAGAACACAAATGGTTAATGCTTTAAAATAAATATTTTTTTCTGAATGCTGGATAGATAATTGTTATTTAAACCATGTAAAATGAGCTGTTTTGACCGAACCACGTATGTATGTATAATGACATTCACAGATATCTCTCTTTGCAAAACAGATTAAGTTATTAATTTTCAAGACATGATAAACAAGCGATTACCGAAATGTCCACATTTTTTATGAAAAGGGTTTTATAAAATGACATCATAAAGAACAAAGGGAATCCGGTATAGGAGTATAATAGGACATGTATTGCGTGTGCAATACTCTCAGAACGCTTGTTTAGCATGCTTTCAGAAACACATTTTTATTGGCCTTGCACAGAATCAGATGGGCAATGGCCATTACTATATAATCTTTCTTCAACTTATCTCGTTCGGGGAAAATAAACTGAGACAAAAACGTAAAAAAAAAACAGAAAATATTGCATTAGTGACAGTCTTGGCATCGTTTACACACCTGTAGTTTTACCCTTGTCCCAGGTAGAGAGGGATACACAGTACAATTGGTGACATTAGGGTTCCGAGGCTCAGTGCTGGTGCCTGAGCGACCATTAGAAAGAACCGTGGAGGATATGAATTGTTGTATTTGTTCATTGCTCAACAGAGGTTTTGCCACCTGTAAAAGAGTGCATAAATAAATACATGAATACATACATGTAAATCTAAACAAATTTGCCTTTATTACAGATATTCGATGTTGATAAATGTACATGTGAAAAATAAAACTGGCTAATATATAGGATGTGATTTACATGTACTAGGAGATTTGGGCATATTAGATTTGTTTGAGTCAGAAGTTATCTTTCTTTTTTTAAATTAACATTCAGTTTATGTTATTTATCACATATAATGTTATACAAACCAGAAGTCTCTGTCGAGACTGTAGCTTTACTGGTTTGTACTTATCAAAAACCATTGCACTATTTTATGTATCTTTGTGAAGTCTACTTGTGTGCCAACTTATTTTGAAATCAAACTAAAACTGTAGAAGGAGTAGCGTTTTAAAGGAATTTCACAGAAAATTCTATTTTTAGTAACCATGGTAACACTGTTCATCGAAATCAAAAACCTATGCATTATTCTATGTATCTTAGTGTAGTTTACTTGTGTGCCAAGTTATATTGAAATCAGACCAAAACTGTAGAAGGAGTAGTGTTTTAAAGGAATTTCACAGAAAATTCTAATTTTAGTAACCACGGTAACATCGTTCATCAAAATCAAAAACCGATGCACTATTCTATGTATCTTAGTGTAGTCTATTGTGTGCCAAGTTATATTGAAATCATTCACAGAATCTCTCTGTAGAAGGAGTAGCGTTTTAAAGGAATTTCACAGAAAATTCTATTTTTAGTAACCATGGCAACACCGTTCATCGAAATCAAAAACCGATGCACTAATTCTATGTATCTTAGTGTAGTCTTCTTGTGTGTTAAAAGTAATATTGAAATCAGACAAAAACAAAACTGTAGAAGGAGTAGCGTTTACACAAGGAATTTCACAGAAAATTCTATTTTTAGTAACCATGGCAACATCGTTCATCGAAATTAAAAACCGTGCACTATTTGTTGTATGTTCATTGTAGTTTTCTACTTGTGTGCATAAATAAATATTGATATATACATGTAAATCTAAACAAAATTTGCCTTTATTACATTTATTTGATGTTGATAAATGTGCATGTGAAAACTAAAACTGGCTAAGATGTAATTTACATGTACTAGGAGATTTGGGCATATTAGATTTGTTTGAGTCAGAAGTTATCTTTCTTTTTTAAATTAACATTCAGTTTATGTTATTTATCACATATAATGTTAATTAAAAAATATCACTAACTCCCTTTGTGACCACTCTGCCAGCTGTACGAGAGGGTCCAATGTTTTGATATACTGCTTGATTGGTGGCTTGAATAAAATACTTTCTGGGTTGTTCAACCTGTTGTATAAAATATTATGTACATATAACAAAAGAATAAGGGTCCAAATCAAATGTAAAATCGAAATAATGTGGAAAATATTCTGCTTATAAATATAAAGGATGAGGGAAAAGAAAAAGATCGGATCGAAAGGCATCAGGAACAAGAGGCCTATGGGACACATCGCTCACCTGAGCACTTTGGCTGGGAAAGAAGCAGAAACCAATTTATTATTGAAAAGTTTAAACCAAAAAGTGGTCCAAACCAATCCTTTAAGGGGAGAGGGTATGAACTGAACAAACTTGAATCTACACTAACTAAGGATGCTTGCATATTTCTTTCGCTACCTGTGGCTTTAATGGCAGACCTTTGCATTTAAACTAACATTGCCCCCACCCCACCCCCCACCCCCAACTAAAATCCGACCAATAAAGGTTTTACTGTCGTTGAGATATTTTTCCTATACCTACCTTAGTAAAACTTTGTGCCCCCCCCCCCCCCCCCCATCCATAGGGGTCGTGATTTGAACTAATTTGAATCTACGCAACCTGAGGATGCTTCCATAATTATCCATGTAAATATGATTAATCGTGGATTTTCTATTCTTAAGAAGAAGATTTTTATTTTTAAAGAATTTTCTTAAACTTTTTAAACTTTGATCGGCCATTGTTGTCCTGCCCTACCCCCCAGGGGTCGTGATTTTCACAAACTTGAATCTACACTTCCTGAGAATGATTCTTCAAAAGTTTTATCTTTCCTGACACAGTCGTTATTGAGATCTGAAGAATATTTTTATAACATGCACCAAATTTTCACTATTTCTGAATTACCTTCCCTTGAAAGAGGGCATGGCCCTTCATTTGAACAAATTTGAATCCCATTTACCCAAGGATGCTTTGTGGCAAGTTTGGTTGAAATTAATCCAGTGGTTCTGGAGAAGAAGTCGAAAATGTGAAAAGTTTACAGACAGACAGACGGACGCCGGACAAAATGTGGTCAGAAAAGCTCACTTAAGCTTTCAGCTCAGGTGAGCTAAAAAAAGATATACAGAATAGTCCAGAGAAGAAATCGATGAAGGGAAATTTATATTTCATATTTTGAACTTACTTTTCTACATCAATATTATATATAAGTAACATATATAACAAAACTGAGACCTCCAGATCTCTCCCGGAAGTGATGGGCGTGGTCAAGATGTCCACTCCCATCCTCCCGTAAATACGCGAGGCAGCTTCCGGGTCGGGAAACTGAACATCCACTCTCTTCTGAAATGAATAAGAAAAAGTGTTTGAACAATTCTGCTACCTTAAAAGTTTGTGGACCGTTTACGTTTCTCTATAAGTTTTGTCTTTAACAGTACTATTCCACAGTACTTCACAATTTTAAAACTACTTAAAAAAACAAAGCACAACAAAATACTATGATATATTCATAAAGAACATTGAATTTTATCAATTGGATTTTTTTTTCAGTATAATTAATATAGATTTTGTGAATATAAACTTGTCTATATTTTTTATTTTTGCGTTCTCTGTAACATTTTGTTCACATTTCCAATTCTAAAAAAGTACATTTTCATATACTCATTATATCTCCCAAATACTTTTATATTGGATCTTATATAACTTGTTCATGGGCGAAAACAGGATTTGTGATAGGGGGCAGTGGGTCCAGGGGGCTAAATCCCCGTGAGCTCCTGTGTTTTCTTGTATTTAGAGTAAAACCAGGCACAATAATAGTGGTAATGCTAGTCATATCATAGTTTGAATGAAGGAGGTCCAGATGGGGGAGCCACGGGAAGCTCGTTTTCGTGTATTTTAATAGTAAAATTAGGCACAAAAAAGTGGTATTGTACCAAAGTATGGTATTATTAATATTATTCATATCATACTTTGACAATTTTAGGGAGCGTGCGCCCCCCCCCCCCTTTAAATCGGCTAGTGTTGTTACATATGTTCTTGTGTATAAAGTTAACTATTGAGCCAAAAAATAATTTTAATTTTATTACTCTGCAAAATCTAAAAACGTTAATTACAAGATTTAGGAGTTTTAAACTTCAAATTCATCAAAAGATGCTGATTTTCGTAACTTTAGTTTATCGACCCTTACCCAGACCCGATATGCTGTATGGTCAAAGGGAAACAAATCAAATTTTTATACTGGTATGTACAGGCTTCGACAAAATTTCATTCATACACAACCACAGTAATTACTCTTATTTGACTACATGTATATTGCAACAAAAATGTGCTTTTCAATGAACATTTACGCCTATGTAAAAAGTAAGCCTAGGTTTTGAAACACAGTAAGGGGCTCTGAGCCCTTGTGTGCAAACTTTATCTCTGACAATATTTAGAAATAGGCCTAGTTTTCAATTTCATGCATACGCTTAATTCTAAGCAACCATCAAAGCGGTAGGATAATCATGATACATGTATAATGTGTACACATTTCCTATTTTCTAGATGTAAATTGAACAAAGAGATCTAATATAGGCTTAATGGCGAATGTGCAAATTCTTTTCGAAACAGCATTCCTTTTTCATTTAGTTGTATTTTAATATCGAACAGAAATTACAAGTTGTTGAATGTTAAAAACTTCATACAAATTGCAAATTACAAAAAGTACCCATCCCCCATCCATGATTAGGCCTAATGCTATTATAAAATTTACACAGTCATGTTTGAGTTTTTGAGTATCTTGAGTATCCCTCCCTAGCAACAGTTTTAATCAATGTTTTCTCTACAAAATCAAACAGATATGTCCATTACCCTCTTATAGCTCTGACTGTTCATTTCTGTAGCTGTATCGACTGTTTTCTATCAATATTTCAGAAAATCTTCGCTCAGCGAAAATCACCTCTTATCTCAACAACTGATGCTTAAACAATGAGCTGTAACCAAAACACATCATGCAGCCTAGCGATCATGACGTCATCACTTAGTCAACAACCAATGAAAAACAATGGACGAATTTAGCAGCTAGAATTTCCTCGGAGGTTATTCCCTTCCGAAAGGAATTCAAAGAACGGTGATAATGCAAGGAGCTCTAGATACATTATTTAATTTGAACATTTTCGAAGTTATACGACTACAGTAACTGTCGTCTGCTTTTTGAAAAAACAATTTTAGAGTTATCCTTCTTAGGTTAGTAACGCATGACTCGGCACATCTCGGCCGATTCGTACCTCATCGAAATGGGACGGAATCATCCGATGTTTGCCGAATGATACATAGGTATAAAGGGAAATAACTCTTGCAAGCTTATTTAACAGAAAATAATATCTGAATGATTGGGAGTTGTAATGAAATTTAAAAAAAAGGTCTCAAAGTCTGTGGACATATATCTAGATTTTCTAAAAATATGAAGGTGAGACTACGATTAATTCTATTCTCATTTGTGTAAAAGAGATTGCATTTCAATATCCATGTATCTATAATCTAAGTTCTACGGTAACGTAGAGCGTAAGGAATACTAACTTTGCTTTGAAAAAAAAAGAAGATTAGTATTACATTTCCAAATATTTATTTTCCTTCAGATTCCTTGCAAATTAAAAAAGGTCCATGTTCTCATGAATAATACGTGATGAAAAAGAATATTTCCATTGTGGAAGTAAAAAAATGTGCAATTTAAATGATCGTTGAATGACAAGAAATATGTGACAAGTCATCAGAAAATTAATGTAAATACAAGATATCAATGAAATATTTGAGAATTCATGAGGTACATGAACTACAACGCTTCACGCCTGCATATTTCATCATGAATCAGTAATGCGAATTTCTCAAAAATTTAATTCATCTCTAGACCACACTTTTTTCATTCATGAGGACGGGGCCCAGAGTGAATAAATTCTGTGCGAATATATATACCGATATAAAACCAATTGATATTTATTGTGTAAACGAACCAATAGGAGAAATGCACGTTGATAATTAGCACCGCCTATTAGCCTACATCTTGTCAAACCACGATCTAGAGGCTGTATATAAATGCCTGTCTTCATCTGATCTGAAAGAATCGAAATTTTGCAACGATGAATGTATACGTTCTACTGCATGTCGTAGATCAACAATCAGTGTATAAGTGATGAACACTGGTGAAGATGTTGTACAATAACATGTACCTTCTGAATGATGCACTTCAGCGGATCCAGAAGGGGGGGGGGGTATACGTGGGTTGCACCCCACCCCGTTAGGATTTGCACACACACAAAAAAAAAAAAAAAAAAAAAAAAAAGAGAAAGAAGTAAGTCCCAAATTTTTGTTGTGTTTTTACTGAAGAAAATGTTTAGTGAAAGGCTAATGTTGTAATATATAAAGAAATTCGGTTGTGAATACATAATGAAACCCCACCGCCTTTACAAATTTGGATTCTCGCGTTCGGAGATATATTTTCCTTTCAAAAAATTTCACGGAATTCATACAATAAGTTCTTTTTCCCAGGTTGATCAACCTCCTACTTTTAAGAACCATACTCCAGCCGTTATCCTACTGAGTTATTTAACTACATGTATGTGTAAAACGTACGTTATAATAATTCTTTTCCCCCTCACCCCCCCCTTTAAAAAAAATTCTAGATCCGCGCCTGATGCAGACCCAGAAAGCACTCAGGATTTTTTTTTTTTTTTGGTCAGGTATAGAAGTAGCGACTATACTGATCTTCAAGTCTGAAAGGACATTTGTTAGGGATGGAAAGGGGAGGGGGGGGGGCATCGCCGATTGAAATTGTCATTTATGGCGATCGACGAATTAAAAGTGAAATAATTTTATTTCTTCAAATATCTGTTTTGTAAATCTTCATAATGTATAAAAAAAATATTTGAAAAAAATTAATTGCCTTTTGGCAAGTCAAGTATTTTTATAGGATTAGAACCATCATCCTCTGCTATCTTGCACAAATGCCTGCATGGTAATGTACCTCGATTTATTGTGAGTAATAAACATGTTAAAGTAGATATTATTCAATGATAAAACATTGGGAAAATTAAAAAAAATATATATAATTGAGGAATGTACCGTCTGTCCGTAATTCATTCATGGTTAGACAATATAATCAGATTTTTAGGGTAATAGTACTGAGCTCTTTGAAAGTGATTCTTTTATGGTATTACCATCTTCGCAAGCCAAGGCTTTTCGGTCTGCTTCACTCCGGGGGAGTGAAGCGGACCGAAAACCATTGACTTGCGAAGATGTGGTATTTCTTGTAATCTCATTAATGTCCGACCTCCAGAGGTTAAGACGAATACTGTTAATTATTTATATAAAACGATTCCCCATGCAACTATCCAACATCTGTGTATAAATAAAATCCAAAAGTGGAAGGGGTGTAATATCCCTCTGATAAGAGAGATAACTTTCCGAAGATATTAATCCAAATGAATTGTCATGTCAGAGTTTAATAATGATATGAAAATCATTTTGTATTTAACTCATTCAAATCTGATCTAAGGCACAAATTTTGATTTTTTTTCTCGATTGCCAATACCGTGAATACTTTCATTAATTACTTATAATCATTTGCCTATAACATTTATACTCAGTTTTTTCTAAATTTTGCACATCAAGAAACTTCTATCTCTTTACGTATGTCTTTAAATTGTTACAAAAGTTTCAGATACAGAATTCTTTCAATAAATTTTTTTTTCACTAAACAAATTTCAGGAACGATAATGGAAAGATGATTCTTTATAATGAATGCATTTTATTTTACTAACGTAGAAAATAATTAAGAAATAAAGTCCGCGTTTTCGTGAATGTTGCAGAATAACCTCCGAGGTCGAGAAATGTTGTTTGAAATATAAAAGCCGAGGCGTTAGCCGAGGCTTTTATATTTCAAAAAACATTTCGAGACCGAGGAGGTTATTCTGCATCATTCACGACAACAAGGACGTTATTTCTATTCTGCAAAGATCGATAAATACGGCTGATCGTTTCCTCTATAGAGAAACGAATTAGGTCACCATGTCTCATTTCGCTGTTCCATTTAACACCAGAGGTAAAATTTGTTTGCTTACCTGTGTATAGAATGCAGACGATTTGAGCTTTCATTACATTAAAAATAGCCTTTTTGGATTATAAATTTGTTCGTAATATGTATTAATCAGTTGGAATGAATATACAATAACAAAATCATGTTCCTCTTTTACTAAAATCACGTTGTTTAATGTGTATGGAGGTCCGTGGAATAGCCCCGCTTAGCTATAAAAACCGACATTCATCAGCAACTTGATGCAATTTACAGACAGTGAGTGTTTATACTGCAAAAGACGACACATCGATGCGGTCTAAACAATTATTTCATTCTACAGCCAAACATGCATTTGAATTGTTCAGATTTGATACGTGTTTCTGATCTGATAATTTTTTGATGACGTTCGTGATTTATTGGAGAATAATGTCCGGCGGTTTCCTTTGAAGTTTTCAATAATCGTGGTAGAATGTGATACTAGTATTCTGATTTTAAAAAAGAATGCTTTATTAGGTTTTCCAATGTGAATCAAATAAGTACATGTATAACAGACAAATTATTTAATATATGCCTCATTTTTTTTCATTTTATGGCGAGATAAAAAATTATTGATCTCTCTACTCTTGAAGCAAATGATCATAATGTTTCATTTCCTCTGAAAAACAAGATGTATTTGTTTAATATTTTTTTTTTTTTTTTTTTCATATTTTCAAGAAATTTATTTTGTTGTGCATTTTTTGCTATATTTTTTTTTTTTTTTTTTTTTAAAAAAATTTTATTTTCATTTCATAATATCAACAAACAGTGAAATATATATAACAGAGAAATTACATTACAAACACAAGACAATGTGACAATATTACCTTACAATTGAAACATGTTATCACAAAGAGTAGTATTTTATGTAAAATTTTTAAAAAGTCTGTAGTCTACAAGAGTGTTTGAATTTTTCATAATGGAGGCATAGAAAAAAATTGAAGATTTAACATGATTAAAAATGTTATAGCTAGTTTCATCCAAGGAATGTAGTCGACAATACATTTTATATTTGTAAATTCTATAGGCAACATAAGAGATGAGTGTGTTTAGTGATACAATTTTTCTATTGCGCTCAGAGCTAAATCCATTACAAGATGTTTCCATTTGATATCTATTTTAAGGTAAAAACTTAATCTGTTCCATATTTCAATAACATTTCTACATTCAAAAATAAGATGTTTTGAAGTTTCGTTCACGTGGCATGATTTGCAATGACTACTCGTTTCTTTCTTCAATTTACTGAGGTAGAAATTATTACAAAGAATATTGTTTAAAAGTTTATAGTTGAATTCTGTAATGTGTCTATCGGGTATGTCATATAATTTACATTGATATATATTTTTCCATTCTGAGGATTCAACACTGAACTCTTTGCTTAAAACTGTTTGATAACATGGTTTACAAAATTTTCTGTGTACAAGGTTTTCATAGAAAAAACTACATCTTTGATCTATGACATTAACATATCCTGTGTAGAAAAGAAAATGGTTTCTGTATCGTATGTTAACAAACCTACAATTTGAAAAATCATACTTAAGTAGTAAGGGTTTGAAAACAGAAGTAAGAATTTTAAATTCGCACAACCAGTTTGACTTGTTTTTTTATACAATTCGTAAAATCTAACAATGTTTTGAATTTACCATCATCGTTAAATAAATCTTTAACATGTAAAATGCCACTGGCTATCCAGTTTTTAAAAAATAGAGTATTACCTTTATATACAAAGTTACAATTGTTCCATATCGGCTGTTGAAGAACATTATCGGAAGACATTTTGTTCAAAAAACAGGGCTTACATTCATTAAAGCAACATAACATTTGTTGATAAAAAATAGGTAGTTTCTCTATTTTTGCCATATTTTCTATCTTTCTATCGGAAAAACCTAACACATAAAAAGCATCAAAATTTGATTTTTTACAATAGCCATCAAAAATATTGTACAAAATGCCTTTGTTCTTCAACAATCTGTTACCCAGGGCGCTTTTAATGCTTTTAATCTACATTCAATATCAACAATTGATAGTCCACCTTTTGAAATTCTACCTATAAGCGTGTTTCGTTTAATTCTTTCATTTTTATCCCAAATAAAGTTATAAATTAGACGTTGTAATTTTTTTGTGAAAGCAATATCAGGAAGACTAAGAATTGAAGCAACATATGTAAGTTTAGATATAGCAAGTGTCTTTACTATACATGATTTACCAAATAATGTTAATTTTCTTCTTTTCCAGGATTCAAAAAGTTTTTCAATATCATGATAAATTTTCATCCAGTTTTTAGTGTAGCATTCTTCCTTATCATGTCCAATGAATATTCCCAAGCATCTTACTGCTTTATTCGTAATCTTAATACCGTAGAGTTCATTATACAAATTTTTTAGTTCCCCCAACAAAATGCATTCTGTTTTATGTATGTTTACGTTTGATCCCGCGTGTTTACAAAATTCTTGTAATTTATCCAAAGTTCGCTTCATTGATATTTCGTCTTTTAAAGCTACAGTCAAATCGTCTGCATGCTGGATGTTTTTAATTTCGTGATTATTAATTGTTATGCCTTTGATATCAGTATCACATTTTATCTTAATAGCTAAAATTTCTGCTACAAAGAGGTACAAGAGAGCAGAAATAGGACATCCTTGCCTAATGCCTCGTGTCATTTCGCTGGTTTTAGAGAGCCAGCCGTTGTTTTTCATTTTAAACATTGGATTTGTATATAAAATTTTTGCCCACTTTATAAAACTATTGCCAATATTAAATTTTTGCAAGACTTGGAAAAGAAAATTCCATTCAACCGAGTCAAAAGCTTTTTCAAAGTCTAAGAAAAGTAAAATACCATCTGAATTTTCTCTTCCACAGTATTCAAATACGTCTAGTACCAATCTAGCATTTTCGCCGATATATCTTCCTTTTATGTATGCAGTTTGATTTTCGTTAATTAACTTAGATAATATATTTTGTAATCTTTTTGCGAAGACAAAGGCAATTATTTTGTAATCTGTGTTCGTTAGACTTATCGGTCTATAATTTTTTAGATTATCTTTTTCACCCTTTTTGTAAATCAGTGATATAACAGACAGTTTCTGTGTGTAAGACAATTCACCTTTATCAAAAATATCATTTAGGGCTTTGTAAAAGTAGGGTCCAAGTTTATCCCAAAAACATTGATAAAATTCACTAGGAATGCCATCTAGTCCAGGTGATTTTTCTTTTTTCATGCTATCAACAGCTTCCTTACACTCATCATATGTTGGAAATTTTTCTAGCAATATCTTATCTTCTTCACTTAATTTAGGGATATCATCAATCTCAGATAAATATTTTTAAATTTGTTCGTTTGAAATGTTTTTACTCGTATATAGATCGCTATAGAAAGAATGCATTTCACCTAAAATGGCATTAGTTTTACTGATTTTATTCCCTTCTTTTGTTTTTACTTCTTTAATTATGTTTGAGGATTGATTGCGCTTTTCTAAATTAAAAAAATATTTTGAATTTTTCTCCCCCTCCTCAATCCATTTAATTTTAGATCTTATCTGCGCACCTTTAGATTTTTTGTCGTATATAGCGTCTAGTTCCGCTTCTAAAGTTTTCATTCTTTTGTAATCAAAATTTTCTACATTTCCGTCTTCCATATCTTCTATTTCGCGTTCTATAGTTCTTATCTTTTGTTTAATTGATTTTTGTTCATTTTTTGCAAAATAAATAGAGAAATCTTTAACCTTTCGTTTAATCAACTCCCATGTAATTATAGGACTTAAAGAGGAATATATACTCTGAATAATGTCTAAGATACCTTTTTTGTATTTATCATTATCGAGATAGGAAACATTAAGTTTCCAATATCCGGGACCTTTTTCCGTTTTATCGATATCAAAACTAAATTTTAAGTATCTATGGTCACTCATTCGACTTCCTTTTGAATGGGTACCTGGAATTTTTCTAACCTTAATATCTGCTATGCTATAATAAAAAGAATCATTAATAAAAACATAATCTATTCGACTTTTAGGGTCATTTTTTGCATCACACCAAGTGAAACCTGTCATACCTGGATTTTGTTTTTTCCATATATCATCCATGTTATGATGCCTTATCAAATCTTTTAAATAATTTACACTTTTATCTGCATTATCAATATTTGTTTAATATTGATGTCCCCTTATTGCAGATTATGATAAAAGTTAAGGTTTTTCAAATGCAAGAAAAACCACGAGGTCTAGCAAAAAGATATCAAAATGATGTTAAATAAAGGACTTGTTCCAATGAATATCCCTGTGAAATATGAAACTTAAGGCTTTTAAAAACCCAAACACCAATCATTCAAAAGTTAAAGATAAGGTTAAAGTTTTTCAAAAGTGGGTCAAACTCTGAGGTCAAGATCAAATGTTAAAAAAGTGGCCAGAGAAAGGCTCTGTCACTATAAATATACGTATGAAATCCCTTTAACCTTTCCCATTTTTTTTAAACAGTTGATGCTAGGGCTTTAATTTATATTTCAGAAATGTATCTATCGAGACAAAGTCTTTCCATTGGTGTAAATATTATGTACTTTTTGACCTTGACCTTAGTTTTACCCACTTTTATAAACTTTAATCTTTGTTATAACTTTGTAACAGTTGGCATTAGGGCTTTCAAATTTCACAGATATATTCCTTGTGACAAGACCTTCCTTTTGCTACTAGAACGTTTGACCTTGGCATTTGACTTACTCTTGAAATACTTCATCCTTCGCCATAACTTTTGAAGAGATGGTGCCATGGCTTTTATATTTTGCATATTTATATATCACAAGGTCTTTCCCCAAGCACCATTTTGGCTTTTGAAACACTAGAAACACTTAAGAAGACATTAAGATCACCTGCACACCGGGTTTATTAGTTGATTCGATACAGAGAAGTATATTCAATATATCAACAATTTTTAAAACGAGGTTAGTTGTTGACAAAGAAGTTGCTGTAAGAAGAATATCATGTCTCGTTTAAAGTCATCGTTTCGTAAGTTCTGTGGTCAATACAATGACCTTGTCAGCAAATACAATTGCTGGCTGACGTTTTTCACACTAATTTTAAGGCCATATACTGTAAACGTATTACATTTAGCGGTGTATTCTATTTAGCGATTTTAGCGGAAGGCAGAGTCCGCTAATTCAAGTACATCGTTAAATGTCTTGTATATTAACATTTATAACTAGCACATTCAGAGAGCGCTAAATCAAATCTACGCTAACTTGTCGAAAATTGAATTTCCGCCAAATATCGTACACGCCAACTGTAATACATTTACAGTATATACACTAAAATGGCAACGACAGGGGATGCTCACTCCTGCATGGCACCTGATCCCGTCTTTGATGTTTTGGAGGTCCGTGTTTGCTCTGCTTCAATTTTGTATTGTATAATGGATTCTTAGCTGGAATACTGGTCGTGATCTCCATATATAAATTTTCTTTTACCAGGTATTTTGAGGTATTGTACTGAACTTTTCTCTGCTTTAAAGTCATCTTCGCTAGCCAAGGGTTTCCGATCCGATACCTACTCTACAGTTGTAGAGTAGGTATTGGATCGGAAACCCTTGGCTAGCGAAGATGCTTTAAAGTCAGATTTTTAACTTTAATGAAGAAAGCGTGTATATAGATATCATTCAGAGACTTCCCCCGTGCTTTCTCTTTTTTCAGGCTGGCTTCATTGTGATTTGTACCTTGCAAAATGGAGTTACCGAATCAGCCTAGATTCTCTAAATGTATATCATCAAATATAAAACTCTGTATGAAAAAAAAAATATATAAAGCGAACATAATCGATTGAAAAACATGCAGATATTTTAATATTAAGGAACAACAACAAAAGCGTTTGGCACATAATTATGAGAAAGAGTTTTAAAAAACTTGTGAAATGCAACACAAATATCATAATGACCTAAGTATGTGTTCTTCAATATATGTGGATTCTTTATAGAAGTCAAATGTACTAAAAAATATTTTTAAAAAATCAAATGTCTTCTCAAAATAGTTATCACAGAAATGTCACCGAAATCACTGAAAGACTGTGGTTGCAGATCACGAAAGATAGCGTTCCAAAACTGAATGTCCAAGCTCTCTATCAATATTAATATTCAGACATCCAATTCTGAATGTCCAAACTCTACATGAATATTCAGAAGACCAAAACTGAATATCCAAAGTCTCAACGAATATTCAGAAGTCCAAAATTAGAAGAAAGGCACAGAGGCCATAAAGCAGTGACAGCCAGAAGTGACAAGAATCTCTGGTCCATAGAAACTGTCTGCTTCTAACAGAGAAAAACTGTCAGGTGACAAGTTATCAAGTAACAGGTCTGTATTGACTACAGGCCTATAGTCCTCTGGGAGTGTCTGTAAGGATATAATAATTCATATTTAATTATTCAGTCTGCTTTAAAGTCCAGTGAAAATTATAATATGATAACACAATAATCATAGTGGACAGTTTTGCATATATGCAAGCAGTTTTATATTCAACTAAATATGTGAGCACCATTAGAATACCTTTCTAATAAACATTGGTTCTTGTTTGGATCCAGATTTCATTTGGCTACATTTCTCAGTGACATTCTCGACAGTGTTACCAGACAAGGACTTGTGCTGGAAAAAAATAAAACATTTTACTCTTTGTTTCTTGTTCTCTGAATTATGATTTGCTCTCTCGCTCTAAAATCTTATTTTCTGAATATAAGCATAACTGATACTTGCTAAAATACTTACCTTTTGTTCCAGTGCAGACTGGTTTGGTGGCTCTGAAGGTTTTAATACAACACTCTGTGGTGACCTCTGATTTGATTCCACATTGTCCATTGTCTTTATATCAGCATTAGTAGCCTGTTTATGAGTAGAGTCGGTTCTGTCATTATTTTTACCAGCAGTTGTCATTTGTTTTGGTGAGGAATCAACACTTTCCCTTTCATCACCAGTAGATTCAACCTGACCCTGAAAGTGTACATCAGTATTTAAAAATCTGCATTTATCATTATTTAATTTTATTTTTACTATTATAAACTATTTGCATTGTGCTAGCTTTTTAACACACCTACCTGTTTTGGCCTGTTCAGGATCCTCATAATTCTGGCAACATATGGAGGATATTCCACTGGGTCTGTCTGAACCTTTGGTGGAACAACAATGCGTTTCTGAAAAAAATAAAGAGGCAATCACAAATCCATACAATATTTTTGTAACAACCAGATAAATTCTAGTCAATTCAAATGAACTTGTTAGCATTCTTATAAATTACCTTGCCACCTTTTTGAGTTACAGAAGTTGAGGCAGATTTCGGACTCTGAGTCTGGTGCAGTGTTGCTTCCATTTGTTTCGCAGTGGTCTGCTGCATTGAACTCACATCCATTTTAGCAAAATTTCTACTCCCTTTAGCCCTTGAGCTATTTGATGTAATATTTGTAGTAGTCTTTTTCTTTGACTTTTTGGTCTTGGTCTTTGTCTGTGCCTCCACTGGGGCAACAAATGTAGGAACACTCTGTGGGTTCAGACTCCATGATTCCTATTTTAAAAATTTGATGTATTTATTTTCTTGTAAACGTTACTGAATTCGACAAGTAAGTTTTTAATGAAAAAAATATAGGAAAAACTTACAAAATGACCAGCAGTAGACCTCTGGGGATAGTCAGCTGATAGTCCAATTGTTTTCACATGAGGTTTGGGTGTTATTACAGTTGAGTATGCATCATTGTAGAAACAGTTACTACTGACTCCATGGATCAGTTGGGTTGGTTGAATAAGGGTCTGGTCATACACTCCTGTAACTGGTACACCAATATTGTTGCTAGGAACTTGTAGTATCTTTCTGTTAAACCATTCGTTTGTCAAAATAGTTGGAGTATCGCCTTGAACCTCAGCATTTCTAAGTAAATTCTGTTCATAGAAATAACAAATTAAAAATTGATCCTTAATTTATCATTTAGTATTTGAATTTTCTAACATGATTGTGTGTTTTAATGTAGAAGAGAGTGCATTAGTATGTATGTATAGATATAAGTGTATACATTGTATGTGCTTTCAGTTTAAAGGAGTAGTGATTTGAAATTTCATTGCAAAAGGTAAAAAAAAAATAATATTGTTTGAAGACATGAATTACAGGCCTTAACTTTTGAGAATTGAAACCAACAAATTGGTAAAAAAAATTGTTTTAATACATCACAGTAAGTTTTAATAGAAAATAAAACATATCTGGAAACCAATGATGGAGTGTTTTACTTTTAATCTCAGAATCAATAGGGGGTTCCTTGAGTCAGTGATACTATTATAGTAGTTGTTTTTCAGTACATATTTTAAGAATTTTTCTGATTATTTTAAGATCTAATATGTAAGTATTCTTGTTTATACAATTCTTTATCATGGGATATAAGTACAAGTACTCACCAGTTCATTAGCAGAGATTGGCTGTTGCAACTCTGTCTGTGTCAAAGTCGGGTTAAGGACATGAATAGCAAAAGCATTACGAGCTGAGGGATGAATGTGTCCCTGACTGTTGATGGCTAACTGTTGTACACAGTATTCTGTTTGCCTTTGCAGTACGTTCTCCTGAGTTTGTTGCTGGATGGACACCCATGGTAGGATCTGTCCAGATCTCCGCTCATTCAAGGTCAATTGTGGCTGCACATTTGCAGGTTCAGTCTACAGAAGAAAAAATTCTCATCTTTATATTACTGATTCTTTAAAATAAAAAGTTTTTAAAAAGTTATTGCTTACCCCACCTGCCCTATTTTTTTTTAGAAACACACATATTTTTTTATTGGCCTCGCAAAGATACATGGACAGATAGATAGACAATGATCAATTCTATGTAACCTACCCCAACTTAGTTTGTTTGGGGTCACCATGTACAATGAACTGAAATAACACATAAACAAGAGGCCCATGGGCCACATCGCTCACCTGAACACTAAGGCTAGGAAAAAGTAGAATTTGGTTTATTAAGATTATTAAGAAGATTTTTAAAGAATTTTTCTTTATATTTCTATAAAACTTTGGTCGGCCATTTTGGCCCCGCCCTACCCCTGGGGGTCATGATTTGAACAAACTTGAATCTACACGACCTGAGCATGCTTCCATATAAATATGATGAATTATGGCTTTGTCATTCTTGAGAAGAAGATTTTTAAAGAATTTTCCAATCTATTTCTATGTAAAACTTTGGTCGGCCATTTTGGTCCCGCCCTACCCCCAGGGGTCATGATTTGAACAAACTTACTTCCATATAAATATGATGAATTATGGTCATGTCATTCTTGAGAAGATTTTTAAAGAATTTTCCTATATATTTCTATGTAAAAATTTGGTCGGCCATTTTAGCCCCGCCCTACCCCTGGGGGTCATGATTTGAACAAACTTGAATCAACACTACCTGAGCATGCTTCCATATAAATATGATGAATTATGGCCTTGTCATTCTTGAGAAGAAGATTTTTAAAGAATTTTCCTATATATTTCTATGTAAAAATTATATCGGCCATTTTGGCCCCGTCCTACCCCCGGGGGTCATGATTTGAACAAACTTGAATCTACACTACCAGAGCATGCTTCCCCATAAGTTTCATCTTTCCTGGCACAGTGGTTCTTGAGAAGATTTTTAAAATATGCCACCAAATTTTCATTAATTCCCAATTATCTCCCCTTGAATAAGGGCAAGGCCCTTCATTTCAACAAACTTGAATCCCCTTCACCCAAGGATGCTTTGTGGCAAGTTTGGTTGAAATTGGCCCAGCGGTTGAAGGGTTCTGGAGAAGAAGTCGAAAATGTGAAAAGTTTACAGATAGACAGACAGACAGACGCCGGACAAAATGTGATCAGAAAAGCTCACTTGAGCCTTCGGCTCAGGTGAGCTAAAAACTAAAAAGACAGACAGTACTGCAATAGTGACAGTTTAAGCATTACATACCTGTAGTTGTACCCTTGTCCCTTGTTGAGTTGGATACATAGTACAATTGATGGCATTACGATCAACTGCCTCAGTTCTGCTGACTGAGCGACCAGAAGGAAGAACTGTTGAGGATATGAATTGTTGTATTTGTTCATTGCTCAATAGAGGTTTTGCCACCTGAAAAAGAAATACATGCATGAATAAATGCATTAATATATATACATGTATATCTCAACAAAATTTGACTTTATTGCTGTATTCTTTTTTGATACGTGTACATGGCAAAGGCTAAAACTGGTTTAGATGTGATCAATATGTACTAGGAAATTTGGCATATTTCATCCGTTTGATTGATTAATTGATTGCATGTTGTTAAATGTCCCTCTCGAGAATTTTTTACTCATATGGAGATGCCACCATTTGCTGGAGAAGAGCTGCAAATTTTGTTCTATACTTAACACTCAGGGAAATTGAGCAGGGAGGGATGTTTTTTGTGCCATCACCTACTGCGACCCAGGACCTCGGTTTATACAGTCTCATCTGAAGTACTGGTCTCCATGTCCCACCATGGGATTCGAACCCGCGACTTGAGGATCATCTCCTTACTTCGCGACTCTAGAGCAGACGCTTTAACCACTGCGCCACGCGGGCGAATCATTCGTTTGAGGTGATTTTTTAAAATTAAGATTCAGTTCCTTATTTACATGTTTCACATATAAATGTTATATAAGAAATATCACTTACTCCATGTGTAACCACTCTGCCAGCTGTACGAGTGGTTCCTGTGTTGTGAAACACTGCGTGATTGGTAGCGTGAATGTAACGCTTTCTTGGTGGCTCAACCTGTTTTATAAAATAATGTATACTTAAAACAAAAGAATAGGGGTACAAATCAAATGCACAATTGGAAGAAAGTGGAAAATACTATGCTATAGGATAATAAAAAAAAATAATAGCTCGCATCGAAAGGCATCAGAAAAAAAAATATAAGGATAGACCAGAGAAGAAATAGATGAAAGGAAATTTATATTTTAGATTTATGATTAACTTACTTCTCAACATCAATATTATATATATATAACATATATAACAAAACTGAGACCTCCACATCTCTCCCGGAAGTGGTGGGCGTGGTCAAGATGTCCACTCCCACCCTCCCGTAAATACGTGAGGCAGCTTCCGGATCGGGATACTGAACATCCACTCTCTTCTGAAATGATTAAGGAAAGATGTTTGAACAATTCTGTTACCTTATGTCTGAAATTTTTATAAACAATGTTTGTGGACCGTTTATGTTTTTCTTTAATTTTGGCCTTAATGGTACTATTTCACAGTACTTCACAATTTTAAAATTACTTAAAAACAAAGCACAAAATACTATGATATATTTATAAAGAACATCGAACTTTAGTGGGTTTTTCACCATAATTATAGATTTTGTGAATGTAAACCTGTCTATAATATTACGTTTTCTGATACATGTTCCTCACATTTCTAGATTTAATAAAGTGCATTCTCAAATACTCATTATATCTCCCAATTATTTTGATAATGGATCTTTGAAAACTTGATACACATGTTCTTGTATATAGTTAACCCTGCAAACTCTAAAAACGGTAATTACTAGATTAAGGAGATTTGAAGTTCAAAGTCACCAAAAGATGCCAATTTTCTCAAACCCGATATGCTGTATGGTCAAAGGGGAACAACTCAAATTTTTAGACAGGTATGTAAATTTTTACTTACAGGCTTCGTCAAAATTTCATTCATACACAACCACATTAATTACTCTTATTTTACTATATTGCAATAAAATGTGCTTTTCAATGAACATTTACGTCTATGTAAAAAAGTTGGCCTAGGTTTTGAAAAACAGTATGCAGTAAGGGGCTCTGAGCCCCGATGGTCTGGATATATAATTTGGGGGATGGGACGCAAGCCATTTCTCTGACAAAGAGAAATAGTTTTCATGCATACGCTTAATTCTAAGCATTCATCAAAGCAGTAGGATAATCATGATACATGTGTATAATATGTACAAACGTCCTATTTTCTAGATTGAATACATGGATCTAATTTAGGCCTAATGACGAATGTGCGAATTCTTTTAGAAACCGCCTTTCTTTTCCATTTATTTGTTAATGTCGAACAGAAATTGCAAGTTGTTGAATGTTAAAAACTTCATTCAAATTGCAAATTACAAAAAATACCCCTACCCCATCCATGGTTAAGCCTAATGCTATCCAAAAATTTACACAGTCATGTTTGAGTTTTTGAATATCCCTCCCTAGCAACAGTTTTAATCAATGTTTTCTTTACAAAGGCAAACAAATATGTCCATTACCCTCTTATAGCTCTGACTGTTCATTTCTGTAGCTGTATCGACTGTTTGCTATCAAATATTTCAGAAAATCTTCGCTCAGCGAAAATCACGTCTTGTGTCAACAACTGATGCTGAAACAATGAGCTGTAACCAAAACACATCATGCAGCCTAGCGATCATGACGTCATCACTTAGTCGTCAGCCAATGAAATCAATGGCCAGATTTAGGGACTGGAATTTCCTTCTGAAGTTATTCCCTTCCGAAAGAAAGCCAAAGAACGTTGATCTAGATTGTTAATTTTATTTTAACATTTTCGAAGTTATACGACAACAGTAACTGTCGTCTGCTTTTGAAAAATCACTTTCAACTAGAGTTATCCTTCTTAGAATGCACGACTCGGCACATTTCTTCCGATTCATACCTCATCGGAATGGCACGGAATCATCCGATGTTTGCCGAATGATGCATAGGTGTAAAGGGAAATAACTCTTGCAAGCTTATTTCACAGAAATATGATGTCCGTCAAGCGAAAACCACCCTTATGTGCATTGTGACGTTATCGAGAAAACGAGCGCTAAAGTTGACGTCATAAATGTTTGCCGCATTTCGCAAATAAATGCTGTGTAAACACGCATTATCTTTAATTATAATATTTCTTCATACAGTAAATGCTTATACCACACAACATAATGAGTAGTCGCAAGTGTAATTATTACAGCCCACTATTAAGTATGAAAAAAAAAAATAATGATTTACAACAAACTGAAGGTGAAAATCCTTTGAAGTAGTGAATACCACGATCTTCGTCTTCAGTTTCTTTTTACTTCTAAAACACAACTATGGGGAAGAAATCGCATATTATCTTAAGACTAGGGCAGCAACAAAATGGACATAGATCTACTTTTATTAGCTCACCTGAGCCGAAGGCTCAAGTGAGCTTTTCTGATCAAAATTTGTCCGTTGTCTGTCGTTGTCGTTGTTGTCGTTGTCGTCGTCGTAAACTTTTCACATTTTCATCTTCTTCTCAAGAACCACTGGGCCAATTTCAACCAAACTTGGCACAAAGTATCCTTGGGTGAAGGGGATTCAAGTTTGTTCAAATGAAGGGCCACGCCCTTTTCCAAGGGGAGATAATTATGAATTTATTAAAAATTAATGGCATTTTTAAAAAATCTTCTTCTCTAGAACCGCTGGGCCAGGAAAGATGAAACTTATGTGGGATCATAATCAGGTAGTGTAGATTCAAGTTTGTTCACATCATGACCCCCGGGGCAAGGGTGGGGCCAAAATGGCCGACCCAAGTTTTACATAGGAATATATAAGAAAAATCTTTAAAAAATCTTCTTCTCAAGAACCACTGAGTCAGGAAAGATGAAACTCATGTGGAATCATCCTCAGGTAGTGTAGATCCAAGTTTGTTCAAATCATGACCCCTGGGGCAAGGGTGGGGCCAAAATGCCGACCCAAGTTTAACATAGGAATATATAAGAAAAATCTTTAAAAATCTTCTCAAGAACCACTGGGCCAGGAAAAATGAAACTCATGTGGAAGCATCCTCAGGTAGTGTAGATTCAAGTTTGTTCAAATCATGACCCCTGGGGCAAGGGTGGGGCCAAAATGGCCGACCCTAGTTTTACATAGGAATATAATAGAAAAATCTTTAAAAATCTTCTTCTCCAGAACCACTGAGCCAGGAAAGATGAAACTCATGTGGAATCATCCCCAGGTAGTGTAGATTCAAGTTTGTTCAAATCATGACCCCTGGGGCAATGGTGGGGCCAAAATGGCCGACCCGAGTTTTACATAGGAATATATATAGGAAATATCTTTAAAAATCTTCTTCTCCAGAACCACTGAGCCAGGAAAGATGAAACTCATGTGGAATCATCCCCAGGTAGTGTATATTCAAGTTTGTTAAAATCATGACCCCCGGGGCAAGGGTGGGGCCAAAATGGCCGACCCAAGTTTTACATAGGAATATCAGGGGTGTGCAATTAGAAAAATCAATTACTAGCCCACGGGCTAGTGGCAGCAATAAAGTTACTAGCCACAAGTGAAAAGTTACTAGCCCAAATATAGGTGCAAAAATTAAAATAAAAAACTATTTGTTGAAAAAGAAATTAATTATTGAAAAAGTCAGGGTACTGAAGTCATTCTTTTTAAAATTAAAATTTAATTCTCACTATGAAATGAAATCATGTATAAATTATAATGAAAGAAGATTAAAATGAATTTAAATAAACTATCTTCTCTTTTTCTAAACATTGCACAAGCTCATTTAGAATGAAATTTAATTCATTTTGTTTTCATCTTAAATCATTAAATACACTATAAATATATTTTATGTGAATCATAAAACACTTATCTTTCAGTTGATTGAGTGATCGTATATAATTTAATGAGATATCTGCATGTATTTACCATAAACGAAAGAATAGAGGAAATTCGGATTATGAAAAAAGGATCGTTTTTGGAAGTAAATTAGTCAGGTAGTGCTGCAAAACAGATAAGATTATGGAGATCTATTGAGAGTAGGAGCCTGTTGTCAGAAAAATTTTCACTGGTTGGGAATTTGATAGCAAAAACGAGTGAAAATACATGTTGTGCTTATAATGTATTGCTTGTGTAGTTATAATTTTGACTAGCCCGACGGGCTACCTCCATGCAGAAAATCACTGGCCCGACCCCAAAAAGTGGTAGCCCCGGGCGTCGGGCGATGCTAATTGCACACCCCTGTAATATATAGGAAAAATCAAGTGTTACATAGGGATATGTAGAGAAACCTTTTAAAATCTTCTTTTCAAGTACTTCAAAGCTATGATTAGTGATATTTATATGGAATCATCCTCAGGTAGTGTAGATTCTAGTTTGTTCAAATGATGAACGCCGGGGGGGGGGGGGGGGGTAAATTCAAGCCCGATGTGCTCAGGTGAGCGCTGTGGCCCCTGGGTCTCTTGTTCGACATTATTTTGTCACTTTTTATTGATATTTTTCTATATTTATGATAAAAAGCAATATTGCAAACTAAACGCAGAAATATATAATTTATCAGTATACAATTGAGGTTGAAAACAAAGCCTTCGGTACAATTTGGCCGAAAAATATACTACATGTATAACAAATGACAAAGTTCGTTTTGTTTTGCTTTCTTATATTGCTTGTCAAGACCCCCCCCCCCCCCCCAATAAAAAGAGAAAAAAATGAATTGTTTTGTATATGTCTGAAATAATCTACATGTGTAATATGTCAACATGCACAAATACCGCTAACGAAGGGAAGTAACCTGTATTATAATTATTTATTTTCACCTGGCAACAGGAAGCGTTCAGTATATTCACCACTTCCTCAAAAGATATTTCGGTATCTGTGTATTATATTGATCTTATTTGCATGTTTTCGAGGGGAAAGTAGGAACAGTTAATTATTCTATTCTATTTGCTAAAAAAGAGTTTTGATATTTTTACTATTTATTTTTTTAATCTGTTGGAATAAAATAATGCAACATTATGAAGCCTTCGATCAGTTAATCAAAGACGATCGAATGCACCCTACATGTTTTAGGAAACTATGAGAAATTATCATGAAAATAAAATTATATAATCTCTAAATTGTGTTGTATCCCAATACTACATGGTTTTGAGTGGGTATAAGCAACTTGTACTTTGATTAGGTCATAGAAATTAAATTGATTGAAATTAAACTTGAAAGTGATGAAATATTTAGCATGTGGCTAATAACTTTAATTAAGCTATTAATTTTAATGTGTCGTTTAATCAACCAACCAATCACAATTACACAACTGTACAGTGACCTAGCATCGTTTTTGAAAGGGGGGAGCCAGAGGGAAAAAAATAACTTTTTTGAAAAAAAGTTGACAAGCAAAGTAAAATGCCCAAACTCGAAAATCCTACTTCGTGTGTGTGTGTGGGGGGGGGGGGGAGCAGGAAGTAAAAATGTAGTGGAATTAACCCATATTCAAGGCTGTTTGTACAATCCGCTGCATCCTTCTCAACAGAATTACGACAGATGCATTTTGTATTTGACTATTCTTATGAGCTTTCGATTCCGCTCAATGTGCATGTACATGTTGCACGACACGTTGACCTAAAGTATTTTCGGAGTAGTACTCATATTTGGCCATGTATGGTATACTTGTACATATACGTACTATCAGAATAATGTTCTCTCTCTCTCCCTCTCTCTCTCTGAATTGTTTCAATGATGTTTGCACAAATTGTCTCACGTCACTCGATCCGCATTTATTATTCAAGAATTTACGTGCGAGGATTGTCATTGTTTCCGAAGGTGTATTTCAGGGGAAATTCTTGGATTCTATAGGCGAAATCAGGTGTTTTTTAAATATGCTTCTTATATAATTTTTTTTATATGAAAACGAATGTCACACTAGGTGACGAAACGCGTGCTTAAAAGAGAAAGCAGCCATTACCTCTCCCTCTAAATTTTACGTTTTAAAAACTTTATCCTGTGCTGAAATTTTCATCCTGATAAATATATTTTTTTTATTAAAATATGGATCCTGGCCACACTACAAATTCACACCATGAAATGCATTTTTATATGCATAGCTGAAACAAAAACGCATGTAGGTAAGGTTTTAATAGTCTTAATTTCAGCAAAATTGTATTCTACAATCAAGCAGAAAAAACACGTTGTCAATTATTTTCAAATAATTAATTCTTTTCCTAAAACACTTGCTATCAGTAAAAAATTATACCTCCCATGCAATTTTTGTACATTGATAAAAGCTGGTGGATGTTGGAATTCCATTAATAAGTAAAATATATAGAGACGGAGAGAAGTTGATTGTTTTGTGAACTTGCTTTCCACCACGAGGCGCGACAAATGCACATTTTCAGAACATAAGAAAGGGGGGGGGGGTCCTTCGAATTACTGGAAGTTCATTGCCAAATTTAAAGTTTCAGTGGGTATAAATTATATTGCAGCCATCTGTATTATGTATATCTTTAATGCAGGATCAGAGAGGACAATTACTTTGATAAAACTCCTCAGGCCATTTGTGTGAGATTAATAGAAAGATGCAATTGAATCTGTTCCTTAAACTGCTCCAAAAAGAATGAATTCGTTCGGGGAAAAAACACAAGGACAGAAAGTTTTTTCGACGAACGCCTTGATTTAATTTATATGTGAAATAATATACTCTCTCTCGTCGCGAGTT